GCATTTCCCTCATTAGAACATTTTCCAATTGGGGTGAACTACCTGCAGTTCTCAAAATAGCAGTGCTATTCTTTACGACTCAGAATGGGGTATCTCTTCTGCCAGGCATGCCTGGTGTTACCTGTATGGTAGATGTCCTCTCTTCCTCCACAGCTGCTCAAAAGTTCCCTTCTCTGTGAAGTCTTTTCCCCTGCCTCAAAGCTCCCATCCTGCCCAGGGACACTCGACTCAGCTCTCTCATTCTGGGGACACATGTAGCCATTGACAGGCCTATCATAGCAGCCATCACACCCCTGTCATTGTCCCTTTACATTCATGAATAGCACCCACTTCACCACACCATTTTCTGTTTCCTTTTTTTCCGTTACCTTCTTAATGCTTGTTATTATATATTTATAAGTTTTATGTGCTTGTCTTCTGCCCCTCTCACTAGAATATCAGTTCTCCTAGGGTAAGACTTTATTTTGGCTCTATCTCCACACTAGACATACTCCCTGATGCACAGTAGGTGCTCAGATATTTAAACAAGTGAAAGAGTGAGCAACGTCTTACTCATTTTCATATGTACAATACCTCACATGCATCAGGATCACCATGAAAATTATTGAACAAAAGTTAAAACTAAAAGAAGACTCAAAAAAACATCTAGAAGCAAAAAATATTATACCAAAAACCTACGATCTTATAAGATGTACAATTATTATATGTCAATAATATTTTTTTAAAAAATAGGTAAAGCAGGTCATTAAATGAAAATATTTAAAAACTTGGGATGAATTCATGTACAGTTGAGCTCTAAACTTAGGTCTAAACATTCAGGCAACCTAAGCTTTGAAGAAAGAGACAGAACCTTCCTCAGATGCTTCAGAAAACAGTGTATTTCTACAAATCAATGAAACCGATCTTGGTTCCTGTAGCAGCTGGCTGGCCTTACCTGTCCTAGGAGGGAGGTCATAGGCTGCTGCCTTGTAACCCTCCCCCTATAAAAATCAGGCGTTCTAATTTTCAACTGTTGTAACTGCTTGGGATTTGTTGGCTTACCTTTTCCATCAGGTAAAACCTTACAGTGGTCTCAGCTTTACCCAGGTATAAAAATCATGGAATTCCAGGTAGAACTGGGACATTTAAGGGAGTTGGGCTATGCTCTGGCATTAGGTGCACATGCATTACTGTGTAAAGCTATTGTTTCCATTTTATTCCTGACTTTCTGGGTAGAGGATTCAGGAAGGGATGGGTGAAGACAGTCATCTCTGGCTCATCTGTGTCTGGGACCTTGGTCCACCTCCATGTGACTTTTCTCCACACAATAGCCTGTACTTCTTAACATGGCAGCTTGATTCCCACTTGATAAACATGGATGTTGGAATGCCTTATAAGGTCTGAGCTTAGAAGTCCTAGAACCTTACTTCCACTGCATTCTGTTGGTGAAAGGAAGTCACAAAGCCAGTCCAGAGCCAAAGGTGGAGAAATAGAAAGAGTGACTTGCATACTCCTGGGAAGAATTGTTGGTGGTGATCTTCAGATATTGCCCTGCAGTCTTACCTCAGGCTTCAGTAGTTTACAGTCCTTCTGCTTACAGAATCTACTCACCCTTCCCAAGATCCCCAAAGTCTAGTTACAACATTATTCTAAAGATTCAACATCATGGGGTCTGTGTCAAAGTAGGAGCCTCCTCTCATTAGGTGAAGGAAAGAGAAAAGTTCTCTTACTCTCCCACCTGCCCCTTCCCCCAACCCAACATACAATGCTGAGATAGGATAGCTGTTGTAACAATTCCCGTTCAAAAATGGAAGGAAACCGAGGCACATAGCAGATACTGGTCCTTAGTAATTCTGAAATCCAGCCAGGTACATGTTTTCAGGTTCCCATACTCTGGGGGACAGGGAATTTTCCTTGATTAGGGCCTAGTTCTGCCCTTCAGGATTGGTTTTATTAATATATTGTTCTCAGTTGCTCTTGGTTCTGTCTTTCAAGAAATCCTTCTTTTCCATAAAAATGGCTATTT